AAAAAAAAAAAAGTACATGCCTCTGATTAGTGGATGGCTGCAGACAAGTTCTCTCAATAATATAATTGTCTTAAGTTTCTTTACGGTACCTTAAAAAAAAAGATACTTTTGTGCCATGGTAAAAAACAATTTTGAGGTCAGAGTTAATATCAAATTTATAACACAACTCAAGTGGGTATCTTTCTAAATCCTTGAAGTTTGTAATAAGTTTATGGGAAGGCTACTATATGAAACTAAAATTTTTGGATGAATTAAGTTTTAAGGTTGGTTGGGATGATCTCAAAGATAAGCCAAGAGAAAGGAGACTGTCAACTTCCAATCAGGAAAAAATTGGCTAACATCCAAAAATTGGTTGAAGACTGTAGAATCACCATTAATGTAAAAGCTACAGAAATTGGGGTCACACATGGCTTTGCATTTTCAATTTTAAATGAACATCTTGGTTACAGCTAGATTTCAGCTCCAAGAGTGCTACAAGTGTCAAGATAGTTAGCTCCAAGAACTAATCTTACTAGTCTTTTAAGTGAAACCAAAGCTAATGAAGGTGATTTTACAGACCAAATCATAACCAGATATTAGTGTTGTCTCTACCAATACAATCCAAATAGCAAGGTCAAATCCAAACAGTGGTTTCCAAGGGGATCTATAGGCCAGCTAAATTCAAGGCAAAGAGGTTTAACTCAAAAGGTTATAGCTTTTTTGGAGGGAGGTTTTTAAAGGGGTAATCTTGATAGGTTTGGTGTTTTTTTTCATAGGAGAGAACATAACCATGGGGGCATATTATGAAGAAGTTTTTAGAAAACTAAAAACCGGACTGGTGAAAAAAGGTTCAGGAAAATAGGACTGGAAATTTTTCCCCCCATCATGACAATGCATCTGTTCACTCTTTCAGGGTAGCGAGGGCTGTCTTATGAGAACTTTCTTGGGAAACCTTACCCCATCCATCCTATAACCCTGCTCTTAACCTTTCAGACTTCTTTTTGTCTAAAAATTAAAAGAATATTTCAAAGGAACACAATGTTAGACCCCCTTCGAGGTGCTCAAAGTGTTGTTTTGACGTGGTGTAAATTGAAGAGCACAACATTCTTTAGGATGGTGTAGAAAGATGAAAACACTGCTTTCAGAAGTACATAGACCTAGATGGAGGACATATTGAGAACAATAACTTCACAATTTTACAAATTTATTAAAGTCTCTATAATTTTGTAGTAAAACTTGGTGACTTATCCTCACATAATCAAGAAAGATTTCTTCTGGAAGGAAAATTAAAAAACATAACAAAAGACAAAATTTTAATTTAAAAGGTAAGAAAATCAGTATGGTAAATTGTACATAAACCTTATGCATCTGGCTTCATGTTCAAACATTAGCACTCCTACATAATATGCCATCCTTTCACCCATCCACTTATTCCCTATACCTCTCATATAGTCTGTGACAGTTCTTTGTGTTGCTCAAGAGCTGTAAGTATCAACTGACTCCAGAGTGATTTGAGTCTCCTTACCACTTGATGAAGACATGGAGTTCTACAACTGTGCAACAGCTAACCCACATAATCCAAGGCCAATACCAGGTATAAAGGCAGTCAAATCTCTGCCCAAAGAAACTGACTGTTATGCATAAACCAGCCTCACATTTCATAGCGATTTAACAAGATAACTGCTTATAATGATATAAAGGTGAATGTATACAAGATACCACATTTGGGTTGAACTGAGGCATATCATAAGCCATTATCATTGAAGAAAGAGAAGATAAACATAGAAGAAAACTGACCTCGGATAATACTGCAAGTGGTTTTACTTCTCTTAGGAGAGAGATGTTGGTTGTAGCAGAGCGCAAAGGGCCCCATTTGGGTTGTTTTGGCATCTCTAATATACCATTGTTTTCTGGACCTTGCAGTTCAGGAAAATCCACCCTGGTAAATTCAAATTCAAGTTTGGAGGTAGAACCATTCTTCTCTATTATTCTGGATTTCCTGTCAGTTCGTTTATTATGATAGACATCTGTAATTGTAAAATGTACAGTAGGTGTCAAAAATTAGATTTCACTTGTTGGCCTATCTTCAAATTTTAATAGAAAGTGTGTTGCTATTTATGCAACAAGTTAATCAAATATCAACTGTGGCTAGGGTTGTTACCTTTCTGTGTAACATTGTAAAACATGAATGACCAGAAGGATCAATTGCTCTGGTGGGGTCACCATGCAGAAAACCCAAACACAGTACAAACCTGAGGAGATCTACAGTGTAAAGAATATTTACCTCAATCTCATGATGCAGCTGGGCATTGTAATTACAGATATTTTAAAGTTCAGCAAATTTAAAGGGACCCTAACAGATTTAAGTGAAAGTATTTTGTCAATGGAACAAACTGAAGAAGGAAAGCAAATAAAATTAAGCTCATAATCCTTTTCCCCTATTTTTCCACTAGAACTACAAATGAATGACATTGTGGGTTACCAACACCAGAATCCTTTGTATTTATTTATGAAGTCAATTATTATAATTAACTAACAAGCTTTCTTTTCACATCTCCATGTACCAAGTGGTCTATGAGAAGTCAGTAAGGAAAACTTTATATTACAAGTAACATAATCATATATGTACATAATGGGATAGGCCATTCACAATAAGTACATTATAACAAAGGTTTTAAGTTATTAAATAAATAGGTGATGTCTGTGATCAAACTACATTAGTAGATAACTTACAGAGAGAAAAACCAAAAAAAAAAAAAAAAAAGACCATGTCGAATAACTTTCAGCCACAGACTAGAACAGATTTCCAGCCTAGAGCCAACATGTAACTATAATGCTCTCTATTTGGTATTGCTTACGATGGGATTTAAACAACAATCAAATTCTACCTTCTCTTAAAAGTGCCCCAATAGTATACCCGAGAAGTCATTTACTGAATTAACACAATGGCATGCAATACAAAGGATATGTGTGTATGTGTGCATCTATTTTAAGGGTGTGATTTGAAGTTCTATTACAAGTGATCATCTACCTGTACTATAAAGGTAAACAACAAGCTCTTCATGAAGTACACCTTAGGAGCACATCACAGAACCAACGGTGCAACAAAAGATAAGAAAGCCAGAATGGTACAGGAGCCCCGGCTGAGCAACTCAGATCTACAGGCGCCAATCTCACTTCTAGGAGAAGTCATCACCAACAAGTCTATAGAGATGGCCTCCCCAGGGAACTGTTAGTTGTCTGTCTTAAAAGGCTGAAATTAATAGTAGAGTTCACTATTTTTACCTGATTTAAAGCTATTTTCTGCATGAATGTGTATATGATGGGAGCCTTTAGCTGATTTTATACCAGCTCTTCTACTGTCAAACTTTGGCTCATCATATGTCTTTTTCTGCAGGAAAGAAAGATTTAAAATAACATGAAAAAAATTTTAAATACTATTTTTTAAAAATCTTAAATTGCAAACTTACAAGTATTCACAATGCAACATTTTTTAACGTTAGATCAATTCTTTAAAATCCATAAAAAACATGAGATGCTTAAATATCATACATGAATTTGTCAACTCTTACAATGTAAACACTAAAGCAACCAATCATAGACACAACAAAAACCAGAGCAGGTACTCACCTTAAGCAAACCTTTAATTTCTTGAGGGAGAGGATACATGCGCTCACTTTGGGGCTTAGCGGCTTGTAAATCTTGGTAACAACTGGGTTGATTGTATTCATACTGGGAGGTAGGCACTGAACAAACATTTTGTGTAGATTCAAGGGTATAAGGAGAATAGGTATACGGATCAATAGTTACATCAGAAGACAAATACTGAGGTGGAAAAGTTGAAGCTCCAAAGGCCATCTCTTCCGTATATATTTTCTGCCTAAATACAAAGGATAAATTTCAGCTGTAAATTTCAAACCTAAACTAACTGGTTTAATACTGTATTTAAAAAACTAATTTAACTTCTAAAGTATTTTTGAGATTATTCATCCTAGCAATGGGATATCCGTAATGAAAACCTTTTAACATTTCTTTCTAAACATGCAAAGGAAGATGCTGGGTTACATGTATATTTTTCATGATTACGTTGGGAACCTCATGGAGAGGATTGCATAATAATGAATAGCAATACATTCAAAAGATGCTTCAGCAACCTTTGACTCTCATGTTAAATACTTAGGAAAGCTGTTCAATTTACCTGAACCCAATGGTTTATGGAGCAGACAATAACTCAATCCAGCCCCCACCCAAAAACCTGCAAAGCCTGTCTCCACAAGGCCTCCAGATTCCTGTAGATAGTTCATTCTAATCCATGCTCTGCTCCAAGCCCACCACATCCTATGCTCTGATGTCAGGGCAGGCAAAAGGGGTGTCAAGTAACGCAGCATTCTGAAATCTACATATATTTTTGGAAAGATGGACACAATCTTTGAAAAGTTGTTGGCCTCAACTTATTCAAATCACTAAACCGAAGGAAAATAAAATGTAACATTAGGGGATTGTTTGTAGTACATACTGTTAGAGGTTTCAATCATTTCCCAATTCAAGTTGACATAAGGACTAATGTCTATCAGCAGAGTTAAAATGGCTACAAAACACAATCTTTTTGCTCTTATAAGTTAAGAAGAAAACTTCAAATATGCACCAATAGATGCTTCTGTGAAATTTCAGAGTTGAAACATTTCTTGCAACAAAACAATACATATCAAAGTGTACTGGTATGCAAAAAAGCAAAAATATTGTAATCTACTTAAGAATCCTCCTATATGTCCTTCACACTATTGGACTGTCAAAGGACAGTGTGGTAGTTACATAATTTCATGTCAACTTAAAGATATGTAAAAGTATAGGGGTTTGAAGAGCATGCTTTGAGAATGATGAGGGTAATGAATGTACAAATGTGCTTTATACAATTGATGTATGTATGGATTGTAATAAGAGTTGTATGTGCCCCCAATAAAATGATTTTTTTTTAAAGTGTAGGGGTGGTATTCAATTTGTCAATCAGGTCATAGCTTGATGGTACCTCCCTAAGGAGAGCCCTGGGAATACCTACCTCTCTCCCACGGCCCACCTCCAATGTTACCACTGCCATTGGATCCACACAACCTTGCACCCACCGACCAGTGATATTCCTGCATTCTGCATCATTGTAGACTGTGACTGCTACAGAGACTTATAGGTAGTACCAGACATAAGGACTTCAGTTGGACTGAGCTGGGATGTTTTCTTGGTATATAATTACCATTGATATAAATGTCTTATTTACACATATATGAGGGTCACTGGGTTTGTTTCTCTAGTTAACCTGGTCTAACACAGACATATAAGGAACATACTATCAGAAATTATACTTTTAATCTTCTGCACGTGAGAGACTACAGTGAACAAGGACAAGCAGCCTCTATCCACACTCCAAACTCACTGTCAGAATCATTTCCAACTAATAGCAACCCTATAGGTTTCCCAAACTGTAACTTTTTAAAACCTCATCTTTAGCTCTTGGAGTGGCTGGTAGTTTCAGACTGCTTAACTTGTAATTAGCAGCCCAACTCATAACCACTAAACTACCAGGACTCCCAGTCTAGGAAAAACAAACAAATAAACCAAACCCACTGCTACTTTGTCTACTCTGACTCATAGCAATACTACAGGACAGAGTAGAACTGTTCCATGGGGTTTCCAACGCTATAAACTGCGTCATCTTTCTCCCATGAAGTGACTGTTGAGTTTGAGCTGCTGCCCTTTCAGTTAGCAGCCCCATACTAAACCCAACAAGGAACCTTCGATAGGATACACTCCTAACAAATTACAGGAATTGTTACAATTTTAACTTTTGCCCTTTCTCCAATACTTAACTATAGATTGGCTTTTAATTACAAGATACTGTGTAATAAGTTTAGATCTTAAAATATTAATTCTTAAAAGTTAATTCTAAGGTCTAAGTAAAATAGGCTGGATGAACAATCTGGAGAAGAAAACAATGGACCAACGGTTCTGGAGGAGATATGGGAGGGGGAGGGGGGGGGAAGGAAGTGGTGCTAACAAGCCCAAGGACAAGGGATCAACAAGTGATCCAAAATCAGTGGTGAGGAGGGTGTAGGAGGTCTGGTAGGGCTTGATTAAGGGTAATGCATCCAAGAGGAATTACTGAAACCCAAATGAAGGCTGAGCATGATAGTGGGACAAGAGGAAAGTAAATGGAAATAGTGGAAAGAACTAGGAGGCAAAGGGCATTTATAGAGGTCTAAATAAAGCCATGTACATATGTAAATATATTTATATATGAGGATGGGAAAATAGATCTATGTGCATATATTTATAGGGTTAGTATTACGGTAGCAGATGGACATTGGGCCTCCACTCAAGTACTCCTTCAATGCAAGAATAAATTGTTCTATTAAACTGGCATTCCATGATGCTCACCTTCCCAATCGCTGAAGACAAAGTGGGTGCATAAGCAAATGTGGTGAAGAAAGTTGATGGTGCTCAGCTATCAAAAGATAGTGTCTGGGATCTTAAAGGCTTGAAGGTAAACAAGCATCCATCTAGCTCAGAAAAAAACAAAGCCCACATGGAAGAAGCACACCAGCCTGTGCAATCACGAAGTGTCGAAGGGATCAGTTATCAGGCATTAAAGAACAAAAAATCATATCATTGTGTGCTCACCTTCCCAATATGATCACTGAAGGCAAATGGGTACATAAGCAAATGTGGTGAAGAAAGCTGATGGTGCCCAGCTATCAAAAGATACAGGCTTGAAGTAAACAAGTGGCCATCTAGCAGGGAAGCAACAAAGCCCACATGGAAGAAGCACACCAATCTGTGTGATCACGAGGTGTCGAAGGGATGAGGTATCAGGCATCAAAGAACAAAAAAATCTTATCATTGTGGATGTGGGGGAATGTAGAGTGGGGACCCAAAGTCCATCTGTAGGCAACTGGACATACCCTACAGAAGGGTCACGGGGAGGAGACGAGCCAATCAGGGTGCGGTGAAGCAACAATGAAACATACAACTTTCCTCCAGTTCCTAAATGCTTCCTCCCAGGCCCCCACTATCATGATCCCAATTCTACTTTACAAATCTGGCTAGACCAGAGGATGTACACTGGTATAGATAGGAACTGGAAACACAGGGAATCCAGGACAGATGATCCCTTGGGGCCAGTGGTAAGAATGGCGATACTGGGAGGGTGGAGGGAAGGTGGGGTAGAAAGGGGGAACCGATTAGATTACAAGGATCTACATACAACCTCTTCCCTGGGGAATGGACAACAGAAAAGTGAGTGAAGGGAGACATTGGTCAGTGTAAAGCATGACAAGATAATAATAATTTATAAATTATCAAGGGTTCATGAGGGAGGGAGGGGAAAAAATTAGGAGCTGATAGCAAGGGCTCAAGTAGAAAGCAAATGCTTTGAGAATGATGATGGCAACAAATGTACAAATGTGCTTGACATGATGGATAAATGAATGGATGGGTTGTGATAAGAGTTGCACGAGCCCCCAATAAAATGATTTTTTTTTAAAAGTTAATTCTACCAATGAAGTCTCAGTTAAGTTTTAAACTTTTCCTTCCTGGCCTTCTTTGTCTCCAAAGAGCCCTAGTGGTACAATGATTAAGTACTCGGCAGCCAACTAGATGGTTGGCTATTTAAACCATCAGCCACTCTGGGAGAAAAATATGAGTTTCCTTCCATAAAGATCAACCAACCACTTTGGAAATCCTACAGAGCACTTCTCTGTTCTACAAGGCCAGTTCTCCTTTGTCCTGCAGGGGTCCTCAAACTACAGCCCGCAGGCCACATGCGGCCCACCAGGTGTTTTTGCCCCGTTTGTTTTTTTACTTCAAAATAAGGTATGTGCAGCGTGCATAGGAATTTGTTCATAGTTTTTTTTTTAAACTATAACCCGGCCCTCCAATGGGTCTGAGGGACAGTGAACGGCCCCCTGATTAAAAAGTTTGAGGACCCCTGTCTTACAGGGTTGCGAGTTGGAATGGACAGGACAACGATGGGTTTGGGGGTTTTGTGTATTTCCGGTGCACACAGAACACTGTTGTTTATACAGCAAGGAAAAATAAAATCATAAGCTTTGTCTACTCACTAGATGCTTCTAAGAATCTCTATTTTGCCTAATGCTTGGAAAATCCAATGGGGTGAGGCAGGCTTTAGGTGACATAAATGAGCTGGTTCTTCATAAAATACAAAGTAGAGAACATGGGTTGATAACAAAGACAGTTAAAAAATAATACTCTTGTGCTAAGAGTTGTATGAGGGCCCAATAAAATGATTTTTTTAAAAAAATAATACTCCAAGTTTAAAAAAATGAAAACATAAACAGCAGGAATAGTAGCTCAAAACTAAAGGATAGGCAGGGTTCAAAGGCAATATGCAAGGCTGTTGCTTTTAGGGAAATTTCATCTCTGAATCAAAAGATCTTAGTTTGGGCTCCAGTTCCAGCTAGTTGTCAACCCTGAACAAATTACTCACATATCCCTGGGGTTTTGTCCCCTCAGGAATCTTACTCTGGAAAATTAATATTTGTTACCTTCCAAGAACACATCAGAGGAAATACAAAATAGACAACCAACAACAGTGTTGTGGCTTGTCTAGAGAATTCCAATTGCCGTAAACTTCCCAAATGAAGCCCACAGCAACATACCTTGCTTTTTACTTGTTCTTTTGCTATTAGGGGGTCACTTCCTAACACTACCCTGCCAGAAAGATGTTTACAGTACTGCC